TTTTTTTTTTTTTTTTTTTTTTTTTTTTTTTTTTTTAAGGGATGTAGGGAAACCAAATGGTCTCATTACTTTCAAAAAAAATTTCCTCTTAAAAATAACCATGTAGTTGTAATTTTGCATGCTATAAAATGATACACGCTTTTTGAATCTATTTGGATGGTTGATCCACAATGACAGACAATTGGTTGAATGCTTTTTGCACAGTACTTCAGTCTACAGCTACAACATCCACATTTCAGGTTAAGATGGCAGAACCACATAGAAAAGCTCACCTATTAAAAATACCCTAAATACATTGACCTGTCATGGTAAACCTTTTGTGGGGAAGGACTGGAGGAACCATGTGTTGAAATCTGTACAAGATGTATAACAACCCCATCCCCTAGCTAAAGTACAAACTTTCAGGGGAAAGTAACATACCAGAGAGGGTAAATCTGTACACTTGAGCCAAAATAGGGTGCCTAAAATAAAATTCTATGTAGGTGCCTAAATTGGTAGCCTTATTTTTCAGTGGTGCTGAACTCCTAGCATCTCCCACGGAACTTAATTGGAACGGAATGCTTCCAAAAATCAGGGCTTGCTCATAGGAGTTCAACGTAGGTCTTGTCTGCAGGAGAAAGCTGCACCTGTTTAAAGGTGTCAATCTTTTTTTTAAAAGCCAATTCAGTTAAACTAGTACAAAAGGCTTCATAGACACTCCTTATATTTTGGTTTAACTTAAGTTTAATAATCTGTTTAAGCTAAACCAAAATAAGTGTCCACACAAAATTTTGCTTAAGTTGGTTTAAAAACAGCTTAAATTAAAACCAGTGCAATTTTCTTAAACCCAGCATCAAATCTATTTTTTAAAATTATTTTATTTATTTTAATTCTTAGCCCTGGTGCTTTGTCATACAGAAATAGTCTCCCCAGCTCTCATTCCTGTCAATTTCCAAATCATGTGTTGTTGAAAGACTAGGATTCAACACTAACATAACCAAGCAAAGAGAACAGCTGCGCAAAATGGAATGTACACCTCTACCTCGATATAACGTGACCCAATATAACACGAATTCAGTTAGAATGCGATAAAGCAGTGCTCCGGGGGGGATGGGGGAGAGAGAGCTGCGCACTCCGGTGGATCAAAGCAAGTTTGATATAACGCAGTTTCACCTATAACGCGGTAAGATTTTTTTTTTTGACTCCCAAGGACAGCGTTGTATCGAGGTAGAGGTGTAATTTGGTATTCTTTCAGATACATGTCTGACTTAGAGATTTTTTTTTCCTAATGTTGATGGACAATGGAGTAAATTATATACACCTACTCTTATATTTCCCCATGTAATTAGTTTCTGTGGTAAATCCTAGAACAGTGTTTGTCTGTTCAGGACTTTCTGGAAAACATACAAAGTTAAATCACAGAACTTTTGTATTCAAAATGCTGCATGTAATACCAACTGGAAGCTAAGTCCCATACAATTGTATAGCAAATGAACATTTTCATAATCATCTTGTTTAAAAGTTACTTAGATAATAAATCTACCATTTTTTTCTTCCTAGAGAAACTTCAATACCTCTGCTGATGTTACACCAGGGATCGGCAACCTTTGGCACGTGGCCCCCCAGGGTAAACACCCTGGCGGGCCGGTTTGTTTACCTGCTGCGTCCACAGGTTCGGCTGATCACAGCTCCCACTGGCCGCAGTTCGCCGCTCCAGGCCAATAGGGGCTGTGGGAAGCGGCATGGGCCGAGGGATGTGCCTGCCAGGGGGCTTACCCTGGCGGGCTGCGTGCCAAAGGTTGCTGATCCCTGTGTTCCATTCTCTAGTTTAGAGCACATACATTCTTTTCCCTTTGATCTTCGAGAAATTACATGTTAGGCTACACTATAAAATAGTGGGGCCCTGGATTTCTTCAGACCTTTTAAAAAAAATATTGTAGTATCTCAGTATTTATCCAAACACTTCAGTCACTGTCATCAATAGTCCATCGATCCTTTTAGCTAACAGTATTTGTCCTTGGATTAATAGGAGACCGAGTCTTCATTTTATAGCCAATTAAGATCTTGCCTGTATCCAAAGTTTTACAGGTTTTGGATCAGCAGGTAAAAATATTGGTTTCCCTGAAGTTCTTCAAGAATCCATAAGCCCCACTGTGTCAGATAAGGATGTACAAACCCTCATCTCACAGCATTCCCCTTGTCCTGACTGAGAGAATCCCAACCCAAACCAGCTAAAAGCTAAACATAAACGTCTATATTGGCTGTACCCTTTAGAGATGACAATGCTGCTCTTCCACTTGGTCCATTTAAAATGCACCCTGCTGGGACCATAGGTTGTTCTAACTGGAGGTTTCCTTAATGGATAAAACTGAAACCACTCTCCTGTTCCAAAATTGTTTAAAGTATTTGGGAAGGCATCCCTGAGAGCAGATTTATCTTGTGGTCTTGTGCTGATCAAGTGGAAAGGCCAAAGGTTCAAGGGGCAAAATATTATAAATCTAGGACTTCATTGAACCTTTGGCCTTTCCAGTTGATCAGCACAGGACCAAAGGAAAAATCTTCATGCTTGATTGGCCTTCATGGGTTGTTTTGTTTTTTTTGGTTGGTATCTCCTTTAGAAATAGTTGTAAGTCCTCAGTGAGGTATGAGAGAGAGAGAGAGTGGGTGGAGGTAATATCTTTTATTCGACCAACTTTTGTTGGTGAGAGAGACAAGCTTTTGAGCTTACACAGAGCTCTTCTTCAGGTCTGGGATTGCTTTTGGTATGCTCGAAAGCTTGTCTCTCTCACCAATAGAAGTTGGTACAGTAAAAGATATTACCTCACCGACTTTGTCTCTCTAAGATCCTGGACCAACACAGCTACAACAACACTGCATACAACAATTGTGAGGTATAGGTAATTCATATTTCTGCTGCCCTATCTTGTAGATGAGTAGGGGACCTTTTGTTTCAAGTGTCTGACACATTTCACTAACATTGGATTCAAAACACCTACATTAAACAGTTTAAGAGTTGCAAAGACAGAGTGTTTGTTTCTCCCCTCCACTCTCTACCAACTGAAGCACAGAATTAAACTTCTAGTTCTTACAGGGATTTATCTGTTCTACCTTCTCTACAGTGGGTTGGGTTCAAACAAGTGCTGGTACCCTTTGCAGTTTTAAGCCTTTTTGCAGAGCTGTCAACTCTACTTGAACCTGTAACTTGACCTCATTTTTCTAATTTAGTGTGATGTGTCAGGAACTAGTTTTCTTTCAGCATTTAGTTCACACAGATTATGATGTTCATTTCCTACTTGTGTGCATCCTATTTTCTGCAGCAATAATAAACCACTTTTGAAAGAATTAATGGACTTCAGGGCAAGTTAACTGTAGGCCTGGTTATTAATCTGTGCACACTTTATCCTGACATAATGCTAATGCACAAATGTAGCAATAATACTTCTAAGCCATCTGCAGAAATTATTCTGAGAACTTTACATCTGAGCCCCAACATTGCAATACTATGTTTTGATGCTTCCTGGCATTTTGCATTATGATATAGCATCAGTATTGGATGATGATGTTTAATTGACATAACATTGCAAACCTTACAAGGCCATTTCAAGATGTGATGATGTGAGTTTGTGGCTCTAACTCCAGTGCAATATCTTCTTTCCTTTCCCCTCTCCTGGCAGTTCCTTTAGAAGTGGCGTGGGTGAGGAATATTTCTCCTTCCCCCTCCTCATACTGCTTTTCTACACATCTGTTTCTTCCCTATTTGAGGTGTGGGGGGTAAGGAGAATTGTGTTCAGTTATACAAGGTGAAGGTTAATTATAGGCCAATGCTGAAATTTTTGGAAAATGTTACCTGCCAGGTGGGTGCTCTAAGCTACAGAGTTAATTCTCTTGCTGTCCCAATGAGTGTGCCACTGTGGATAAATATTTAAATAATCATTGGGCCAGCCAGAGAGTGACTCTAGCCTGGGGGTTAGACCCAGGATCCAGTCCCCCTGGTCCAATCACTCTTTATTATACATAGCAGAACAGCTTCAACAGGTGAGACTGAGGGAGCCCCCTCCCCTCCCCCATCAGACTATCGCATAACTCAGTGGTTAGAGTACGCTCCTGAGAAGTGGGAAACAACTGTTCAAAGCCTCTTTTCCCCATTAAGTATGTGTGGAGAGGAATTGAACCTGGGTTTCCCATATCCCAGGTGAGTGCAGTAGGTGAAAAGTTATAAGGTGGGCTCCTCCTCTTCCAGCTACTTTCGTGTGGAATGAGGCAGGTGCCTAACTCATTCCTACAAGAAATGACTTAGACGCCTAAGCCATCTAACTCCAAAAGAAGGGTTCTTTTTCATGGATCACTCCGAGATAGGCAGGCTCAACACACAACCCTCTCTTTGGCATTTTCCATTGGCTAGCATAAGTGGCTCCCCACCTAGCCAGCTGACTTTTGTGGGTTGCATTCTAAGGCACCTCTCCCCATTCACTGAATAGGAGCTTTGGCATCTAACTCAGGCTTTGTGGATTGCAGTGTTGTTCTTGTGATTTTTCTAGGCACCTCAAAGTGCGGCATTGCAATGCTCAGAGTCACAGCATCTCAGTCCCTTTGTGGATCTGAGCCTAAGTGACATGGGAGCACAAGTCCAATTGACTTTCAGTTACCTGTGTTCCTGAATCACGTTGTCATTTTTGAAAACCCCACGTGGTGTCTTTCTAGCTTTTTATTGCTATAATTGCTTCCTCTTTCCCCCAATTCTCTGTTTACACTTTATTCAAAGTACCCTCAGTTTTGAAAAATATTGGAGTATCTTTGGCATAAATATTCAATTGTACCAATTATTCAAAATGCATTACTAGCTGGCTGTAATTATTTACTTGAAGTTGAATAAGTGTGACACCTAAGTGCAGCATATTTATCTTAAGGTTGCAGGATCCATATAAAACTCTTGTGATGAATTTATACCTCTTCATGTCTAATAAGCTGCAGTGAACTGATATCAGAGGGGTAGCCGTGTTAGTCTGAATCTGTAAAAAGCAACAGAGGGTCCTGTGGCACCTTAGAGACTAACAGAAGTATTGGGAGCATAAGCTTTTGTGGGTAAGAACCTCACTTCAGATGCAAGTAATGGAAATCTCCAGAGGCAGGTATAAATCAGTATGGAGATAACGAGGTTAGTTCAATCAGGGAGAGTGAGGTGCTCTGCTAGCAGTTGAGGTGTGAACACCAAGGGAGGAGAAACTGCTTCTGTAGTTGGATAGCCATTCACAGTCTTTGTTTAATCCTGATCTGATTTGTTTAATCCTGATCAAATTTGCAAATGAACTGGAGCTCAGCAGTTTCTCTTTGGAGTCTGGTCCTGAAGTTTTTTTGCTGTAAGATGGCTACCTTTCCATCTGCTATTGTGTGGCCAGGGAGGTTGAAGTGTTCTCCTACAGGTTTTTGTATATTGCAAAGCTTATGCTCCCAATACTTCTGTTAGTCTTAAAGGTGCCACAGGACCCTCTGTTGCTTTTTAGTGATCTGATAAATATCCATCCTAGAACTTGAGCAAAAGATGTGCCTAGAAAGCAAAAGCAGCCCATGAAACACCTCTATAGAGAATTCCTCCTTTCATGAAGCTGTTTTTGAGGAAGAAAGAACCTTGTATGTTACAAAACAGGTACTTCAGCTGGTTATAAGGGTAGAGTATCCTTTCATCAAAGCTTATTGTATATCAGGTATGCTCTTTACTTGTGTTTTCTAGTAAATCATTGCTGTTCTGCTATCACTATTGCTTTTGATTGTGCAATAAGCTTTTAGTGATGTGCAGTGTATTCAGTACACATTAAATCTTAAGTAAAAATAAACTATTTAGTGGCTGTGGTGGTTTGAGTACTTATTGTTTTGAATAACTCAGAATAAAGAACAAAGGTGGCAGATGAATGTTATTTAAAATAGTCTTGTACTGGTCAAGTCTGTTGGAATACTTGACTGACTAGGTGCTACTCTGCATTTGCTGACTGAGTTTTGGAAGGTAACTGATGTACATCTCCATTCTGTTACAAATATTTTGTGTGTGGGGTAGAGAAAAGGCCAAACCACATCTATTTTAAGCAAGCACTTGCAATGTACACCTAGCAGCACTTTGTGCCACTATGTGAAATACAGGTTTTCATTATGATATCTCTTGCTTTTTTGAACTAGGGTCATGCTTTATCTTTAGATATGATCCAGATAAATCAAATGTTTGGCCTGTGGACTGGCTCTGGCCTTCTAGGCCCTCTTTCAGGTCATCATTCTTCAGTGATCCGTAGCCGCCTGCCCTGCAGATAGCTCAACAGGGCTCAACTTCTCTCCATTCTCTCACCTCTCAGGTGAGCTATGGGATATTCTGATGTGGGTCTCTCTTTCTCCTGATGAAGCTGTTCCACTGAGGATAAATAATTGAGTCATTGGGGCAGGGGGACTGGACTGGGTGCCACTTCCCAGATGGGTGCCCTAACCACTAGGCTACAGAGTCATTCTTTCTCTGGTCCAGTGACTTTTAGGGCTTGTCTACATTTACTGGCTGGATCGACAGGCAGTGATTGATCCAGCGGGGGTTGATTTATTGCATCTAATCTAGATACAATAAATCGACCGCTGAAGACACTGCAGTAAGTAGTACATTGACTTCAGCTACATTATTCACATAGCTGAAGTTGTGTAACTTAGATCAATCCTTCTCCCTCCCCCCACAGTGGATAGAGAGCCCAGATTTGGACATCTATATGCAAGAGAGGCTTAAGAGGACCCATCCCTCTCGTCAGTATCTCCCAATGACTCTTAGGCAGCTCCCCACCTAGCGTTTTGACTTTTGTGAATCATGTTCTAAGGTACCTCTCTCTCCCTATTCGTTGTATAGGGATATCCATGCCAAACTCAGGCTTTGTGGCTTACAGTGGTGTTCTTGTGATTTTCTAGGCACCTAAAAGTTAGGTGGTGCAACACTCAGCATCACAATACCTAAGTCCTTTTGTAGATCTGGGCCTCTGCCCAGAATAGAGACTCATGAGGACTCCGTTCCCCACACAGCTTCACCATCATGGGATGACAAGGGAGAAATCCTTTCCCGTGTTAAATACTCCTGGTGTACTGAGTAAAGTCCCATGAGAAGGTATTAGGTCTCTCCTAAAGCACTCAAATGACTGCTAGACAGCCTGGGGGAGCAGGCAGGCATTCCCACAAACAGGATATTTGTCGTCCTACCTGTCCTTGGTTGAGTGATCCTTAGAATAAACAGGTTTCAGAGTAGCAGCCATGTTAGTCTGTATCCGCAAAAAGAACAGGAGTACTTGTGGCACCATTAACCATTCCCCCTCCTTCCTCCCACCAACTCCTGGTGAGTACTTGTGGCACCTTAAATTTGTTAGTCTCTAAGGTGCCACAAGTACTCCTGTTCGTTTTTTAGAATAAACAGTTTGCTACCTCACTGCATCTAAAGTGCCTGGGGAAGTACCATATTCATCAACCGCTCCCTGCCTGCACCAAAAAACACCAAACCCTGCATGAATCATTGTCTTCCCCCTCAAACAAAATAATGTAGAGTTTTCTCTGAGGACCTCATAAGACCTGGGTATGTTAAACTAAGATTTTATATAAAAACAAAGATACTTCATAGGTTTGGGAACCTAAGGATGGTGTAGTAGTAGCTCCACCCATGAAACAGTCACACTTTCTGAAGGCAACTTCCTTCCAAAAGATTCCCGAGACCATAAGAGTGAGGACACACTACACAGCAATTTCAAATCCTTGACTGTAGCAATTTAGAAGACAAGTATTCCTGACTTAGTAAGGAAAGCCTATTTGGTGGCAAACAAGTGGCTTATCTAAGGATACAATCCTTACTGTTAGTGTGAGAGATTGTGGGTTCACCGTCTGATCAAAATTTGGCAGTGGTGCATAAAATATGCTTTCTTGACAATTTTCCTGTGTCTTTGTGTGATTTGTGACAGGAGCAATGACTCAACTCAATGGCTACAAGAAGACATTGCTTCACCCATTTATAGCAATAAATCATACCAAACAACTATCCTGTAGATCCAGATTTACAAATGAAAGGCTTTTTAAGGAAACATTTAAAGAAATTAATATCTGAGAATGTGGAGAGGCCTCCTTCGTCACTATCAAATCCAGTATAGCAATCCTTGCTACTCACACTAATGGTATTCAATAAGAGACCGTTTCCCCTAGCAGAAGGAAAAATCTAGAAGAGAGGTTCCCAAAGAAGATTTCAATACCTTTTCTTCCAAAACCAATTAAATCCTCACCATGACAATAGACAAGTGAGCATTTATGTGGAACAGTTACCCATTCCTGTACAACACTTCCCTTTG